AAGTGAAGGAGGTCAAATATTACTCGTTTATTTTGGACTGTACACGCGATTGAAGTCATATTGAACAAATGACAGTGATATTACGCTATGTTGAACGTAATAATGGGGAAATTGAAGAGCATTTTATCGGTTTTCTGCCGGTACACCAAACAATTAGAAGTATTTAACCAGAATTATTTTGGCAAAAATAGAAAGCCTAAGCTTAGACATCCTTGAATGTCGTGATAAAAGTTGTGACAATAGTGCAAACATGCGTGGTGTAAATGCAAGAATACTACAAGTAAATCCACGAGCCTTCTTCTGTCCATGTGGTTAACATAACTGGAATTTGACCTTTGGAGATGCTGCTTCCTCCTATACAAATGTTCGATTATTTTTTGGTTTACGAAAGAAACTTTATACTCCATTTTCTACTTCTTCCAACATATGGCATGTATCAAAAGAAAATGTTAATATTGCTTTAAAAACTCTTTCGGAAACTAGATTGGTGTTCCGCATAGAAAGTGTGAAAGTTGTTCGCTTTCAACTCGAAGAGATCTGTGGCGCTTTAAAAAAAAACCATCTGCAAACTGTAAAGGTGATCTTAAACTTCGCTGTGGATGTGAATCTGCCAGTAATGAGATTGCGTCCTATGATTTCTTAATATCTTTACTTATACGGTATGACATTCTAGAAAAAAAATCAACGCTATCTGTAAATTATGAGAAAATGATAATATGCATTTGTACAGCACTGTTATACACTTTGAAGAATTTCGGAAATGGTTTGATGAATACAGATCAAGGGGCTTTGAGTCAGCATTTTCTACAGCCAACGATCTGGTAAAAAATTTGGAGATTCAAAGAGATTTCAGAAAACTGTGAGGCCCTATTAAGAAAACAATGTTTGATTACGAAAGTGAGATTGAACGTACTAATTATTACAAGGAATTATTCAGGATTCACTACTAATGAATCATTAATTTCATGTTATTGTTCAAACGCTTCGTAGGACACTCGTTTTGAGTTTCTTAAAACATGCTGGTAATTTTTGTATAATATATGTGATATTAATGACGTAGATATGTATGAAGAACCCAGTATGCTTTGCAGAATTATTCCCCCTCCCCAGCACCAATATGAAATACGCTTTGAAATTCATTATTGACAATGGCTTATGTGATATTTACCCTAACGTGTATGTCGCACTTCGCATGATCCTTTCTATAACAGTTTCGGCTGCTTCGGCAGAAAAGAGTTTTGTGTGTTTGTAGTCAAGTGTAAAGCTAGTTATACAATGGACTATATCTGTGCTGTGCCCTCCACGGGTATCGAAGTCCGGGTTTTAGCGTATAAGTTAACAGATTTACTGCTGAGCCACTGGGGGACGCAGTAAGAAATTTTTGTCGTCTTAAGCTCATTGAGACGAGCCTCTGTTCTACCATGCCCCAATAAAGTTTGTCATCGCTGGCAATGTTATCATGTCATCAATGTTAAAATGATGTAACAAATTTCCTTGATTATTCTAATCCGACAGAGTATACAGAAAAGCAGAAAATCAATGCAGTGAAGTATCAAACACAGGTTCTACGTGTAGTGATAGACTGCGCAGTTGGTGGTCGTAGAAACCCTCAATAAGTTTATTGTAACATAGCCAAACGTCAGGAACTTCACTAAACCAACTGTCGCGGTTCCATTCAAAGACTTTGAGTTGCGATCAACATCGGCCTCAGAAGTCCACCTATTAGAATTAGTGGCGCACCTGTTTTTCATGAAGTTTTAATTTATGGATGTACGTGTTTGAATTTGACACGTAGTGAATATATTTTACATTCAATATCAATAATACACGTTTGTGTTTTTAAAATGTATGCTTGGATCTAAATACTTTTTCAGGAATTTGGTAGAAAGTTTTCCCTTCTTAAAATTTAAATCATATGAGTTCAGTAATCGCAAAAGGTGGCCTCGCAAGCCATAATCGCCTGGGAACCTTGCACCCCCTAAATCCGCGCCTTGTTAAATCTAGTAACATTTTACATCATTGATTATTCACAGAAGACCTTCTGTTGATCTTAGTAATATCGATGACGGAGTTTATATAAATTTATACTATCGACCGTTTTGAACTTTAGTAATGTAAAATTGTTTACGTTTCTTTCGTCGGTTACTAGCTGCAAACATTATCAGGGAAGCAGACATTAGGCCTTCTTTGTTTTTGTTTTTTTACGTTAAACCGTTAAAATTATGTGACGCTTTAACGTTTTCATGTAAGTTGAAACCAGGAGTGTTTATTATTATTATTATTTTTGATATTAATATAGCAATACACTGATTGGACACTTACCATTAAGTTGTTGATGTCAGAGATGTCGTCATAAGAATCCGCCCAGTTTAGTATGGAACCTATTGCCCTTCGGGAGTCATCAAGGTCCAAATTTTCGAAATCCTTTCTGTTTAGAATAAAACGAGAATCTACAGATAACTAAATGCCTAGTAACCTAATCGTCTAACGTTAAAAAAATAATTATATATATATACCCACGTGCTCGTTCTAATACTAAATACTCTAAGCCGAATTAGGATTACAAGGTTGACTTTTTACGCATAAAAATAGCGGAAAAGTATCTATATAAATATAATAGTACTGTTGCGTCAGCGAGGTCACGTGACTAGTATCA